CTAAATTAATTGAAGACTAGGTCAATACTAAAGGAATACTAGGGCAATCACAAGGCAATTCTAAGGAAATACTCAGGGAATACTGGGCAATGAAGGAGAATACTAGGGGAATTCTGAAGGAATACGAGGGGTTTACCCAGATAATAATCGCCGACCCCTTTCTTCAAAGGGGAGGCGCGTGGGAAGGGTTTGTCTGTCCTTGTCTTAGTGATGGTTATCATCAACACTGATGTTGGGTGATGGTTCACAGCATCCGAATCATCATCATTACCGTGGCGCTTCTTTTTTCATACATGTTTCAAGTGTGCCGTTAGACCTGACTCGAGATGCAGAGGATGCGTCGTGATAATTGTCATGAGATTTGCTGCTGGTGCTGGGGACGCATAGTGATGACGTTGAATGCTGGTGATACTGAAGATGCGAAGTGATTATTATCATCAGGATGATGAACATGACGATGCGAATCATGGTCGACGAGGATCATGATGAACATGATGATGAAAGTGATGATGGTGGTGTTCTTCTTCATGTTCATGTTCATCATCATCATCATTTTCATCATCTTCATCATCATCATTTTCATCATCATCGTCATCATCATTTTCATCAACATTCATCGTGATCATCACGTCGTCATGTTCATCATCATCATATGCATCATCATGTTCCTCATCATGTTCATCATCGCTCTTCTGTTTCACATACGTTCCAAGTGTGCCGTTGGACCCGACTGGAAATGCAGAGGATGCGTTGTGTTGATTGTCATGATAACTGCTGGTGAAGCTGAGGATGCGTAGAAAAGAAGAGCGCCTTGGTTTGGATAATGAACGTGATGAGGAACATGATGATGATGAACTTGAAAACGATGATGATCCTCTTTCATCATCATGATTTTCTCTCTCGTGTTATCATGATCATCATCATCCTGATGACAACCATCACTACGCATCCTCAGCATCGCCAGCAGTTATCGTGACAATCATGACAACGCATCCTCTGCAAACGTATATGAAAAAGAAGAGCGACGATGAACATGATTAAGAATATGATGATGCAGATGATGATGATGAACATGATGATGAAAATGATGAGCATGATGATGAATTGACATCGTGGTGTATGTGCATCTTCATCATCATTATTTTCATCATCATTATGTTCATCATTATCATCATCATCTTCATCATCATGTTCATCACCGTTGTGTTCATGATCATCATCATCATCATCATTTGCTTCATCGTGTCTATCATCATCATCATTTGCATCACCATGTTCCTCATCATGTTCATCATCGCTCTTTTCACATACGTTTCAATTGTGCCGTTAGACCCGACTGGAAATGCAGATCATGTTCATCGTCATCATCATCATCATTTTCATCGTTCATTATCATCATCATCATCATCTTCATCATTATCATGTTCATGATCTGTTCATCATCATCAACATCATCATTTGCATCATCATGTTCCTCATGTTCATCATCAAAACCGTGGCGCTCCTCTTTTTTTCATATACGTTGCAAGTGTGCCGCGAGACACGACTGGAAATGCAGAGGATGCGTTGTCATGAAAACTACGTTGTCATAGTGATGACGTTAACTGCTGGTGACGCTGAGGATGCGTAGTGATGATTATCATCAGGATGATGAAAATGATGATGATGATGATGCTGATGATGAACATGAAAATGATGATAATGATGATGATGAACATGGCGATGGACATGATCATGAAAATGAAAATGATGATCATGACGATTATGATCACACTGTTGTACAAACACAATGGCTCTATGATCATCATCATCATCATCATTTGCCTCATCATCATCATCATCATCATCAATTGCCTCATCATGTTCATCATCATCATCATCATCATTTGCATCATGTTCGTCATCATGTTCATCATCGCTCTTCTTTCATAGACGTTTCAATCTGCCGACCCCGCTGGAAATGCAGAGGGCGCGTTGTGTTTCGGATGACGATGATTATGATGATGAACATGATGAGGAACATGATGATGAAAATGATGAGGATGAACATGAGGATGAAAATGATGATGATGATGATGATGAAAATGATGACTCTGACCCGTGCCATGTAGAAAAAACTGTCATGCCAAGCTCGACATTGAATTCATAGTTAACCCCCCTCCCCCACAAATCACCTACTTATCCACAACACTTCACCAACAACTCAAGAAACACCTGGCCTCCCCCCCCCCGCAAAAAGCCTTAAAAAAGGGGGGGGGGTAAAGCCAGCACCGCCAACACCAACCACAATGCAAAATGCAGACCCTTTCTGCCAAAATTGAAAAGATGCGCAGTCACAATCCGCACCTGCCCGACTACGCAGCGCGGATAACACGGCCAAAACCCCGAAAAAACATCGCGAGAGCCTCGCTCTTCAGAATAATGCAGAGTACAAAGAAACGCGCCAAGATTCGACTCCTCATTAACATGTGAACAAAAAGCTGGAATCCCCCCGCCCAGACGCCGTAAAATAGGGGAGGCAAAGCCAGCACCCACAAAACCAACAGCAATGCAAAACACGTGCCCGTTCTGCTAAAATTAAAAAGATGCGCATTCGCATTCCCCGAACATGGTTTTCCTGCCTAAGTTCCCACGCACTAGGGCACTTCTTGTAACATCAAAAGCATGATCATTATCGGGGCCCTTAAATCCGGCCACCGGAAAAGGGGGCAAAACATCTTAGGGAGGACAAGGAAGCAGATCTTGGGGGGGAAAAGGCCTCAGGGGGGAAAGGGGGGGGAAGGATCTCAACAGGGAAAGCGGGGAAAAGATGTTAGGAAGGAAAAAGGAAAAGATCTCGGGGGGGGGGGGAGGCCTAGGGGGGGAAGGGGGGAAAGGGTCTCAACAGTGAAAGGTGGCAAAAGATCTTGGGGAGGAAAAGGGAGAAGATCTCAGGGGGGGGAAGGCCTTAGGAAAAGGGGGAAAGGATCTCAACAGGGAAGGGGGGGAAAACTTAGGGAGGAAAGGGAGAAGATCTGGGGGGAAAAGGCCTCAGGGGGGAAAGGGGAGAAATGATTCAAAGGGAAAGGGGTGGAACATATTTAGGAGGAAAGGGGAAGATCTGGGGAAAAAAAAAGTGAACAGGGAAAGGTGGGCAAAAGATCTTGGGGAGGAAAACGGAGAAGATCTCGGGGGGGGGGGGGGGGGGGAAAAGGCCTTAGGGGGGAAAGGGGGGAAAGGATCTCAACAGAAAAAGGGTGGGAAAGATCTTAGGGAGGAAAGGGAGAAGACCTGGGGGAAAAATGTGAAAGGGGGAAAAGATCTAGCTCTGAGGGGCCTTAGGGGGGAAAGGGTGGGAAGGATCTCACCAGGGAAAGGGTGGAAAAGATCTGAACAGGGAAAGGTGGGAAAGATCTAAGGAGGAAAGGAAAGAAAGAAAATCTGGGGGAAAAAAAGGTGAACAGGGAAAGGTGGCAAAGATCTTGGGGAGAGGATCTCAGGGGGGGGGAAGGCCTTAGGGGGGAAAGGGGGGAAAGGATCTCAACAGAAAAAGGGTGGGAAAGATCTTAGGGAGGAAAGGGGGAAGATCTGGGGGAAAAAAAGGTGAACAGGGAAGGGGGGGAAAGATCTAGCTCTGAGGGGCCTTAGGGGGGAAAGGGTCTCAAAAGGGAAAGGGTGGAAAAGATCTGAACAGGGAAAGGTGGGAAAGATCTAAGGAGGAAAGGGAGAAGATCTGGGGGAAAAAATGCCTTAGGGCGGAAAGGGGGGAAAAGATCTTTGAGAGGAAAAGGAAATCTTTCTCGGGTGGAAAAGGCCCTAGAGGGGAATGAGGGGACAGGATCTCAACAGGGAAAGGGGGGGAAAGACCTTAGAAAGGAGAAGGGAGAAGATCTTGGGTGGAAAAGGCCTTAGGGGGGACCGGGAAAGGGGGGACAAAATCGTAGGGGGGAAAAGGGAGAATATCTTAGGGTGGGAAAAGGCCTTAGGGGGGACAGGGGGGAAAGGATCTCAACAGGGAAAGGGTGGAAAACAGGAGGAAAAGGGAGAAGATCTTGGGGGGGAAAGGCCTTAGGGGGGATCTCAACAAGGAAAGGGGGGCAAAGATCTTAGAGGGGAAGGGTGGCAAGGGGACAACTCCAAAGGGACGCAAATCACAAAGCAGGCCTGTAACGTCGGCGGCCTGAGCCGGAGGCGTTAAAACAAGCACTTTTTAAAGGCTAACGGTCAACCTTCCAAAATAACCCTTACATAAGGCTTATTCATGGTCTATTTTACTTCCTGAAATTTACAAACCCTTAGCCATTTTTTTTTGGGGGGGGGGGGTATAAACTTCTATGAAAAGAGGAATGACTGAAAGCAGACTCTTCGCAGTGCTCTTGGGCCCAAGGTTCAAGACCCGCAGGACTCTTAAAGCGTTTTTAGGGCCCCATACTGGATTCAAGGTTCAAGATCTAGAGTCCTGGGAACTTGAATTTTGATCCAGAAGTGCGTTAAAAGGCGCTTTAAAGCGTTTTAAGCAGACACAGCCAGAGTCAAACGTCAATAGTTGAATGCTCAAAACTGGAGTGCCTCGGGGGTGAAAATGAAGTATGGCAAACACCGTGGTTCTGTTTTTTGGGGGCGCCATATATTTAGACGCCCTATGGTACGCTGTCTTTGACGCCCTGGCGCCGGACTTCACAATCCATTTTGGACGGGTTGCGGAGAACTAGGTTTGCTAGCTAGCGGTTCAAATTTCGTTGAAGACTCAGCGGTTAGTACCCTCAAAAAAAGCAGCGGTTAGTACCCTCAGGCTTGGGCTTCTTCAGGTGAAACCCATTCAACACCCCCCCCTAAAGACCAACACTTTGGCGGGATGGACCCTTACCAGAAGGTTACCAGATGAATCGATGTCTAAGCAACTTGCGATCTGAGCAGTTGGTCAAGATTTACCTCACACGTTCCAGGGAAACGTATTGTCAGCCTACCTTCCAATGATAGTCAAAGGTAGGCGCGATTTCACAGCGCGCTTGGGTGGCCGCCAAGCTGATGGAGTAGGTTGAGTAGGTCACCTCAGCACGCCAAGCTCCAAGCTTTTCCCAATCGCAAGTCTTAAGGCGCTTAAAGCGCTTCTTGCTAGTTTTCTGACCTCTCGGGCTGAGGCATGGCAGTCCAATGGGTTCGCGAGGCCTTGGCAGCACTTGCCGGTTCCTTGAAATCAAGCCCTTGATCTGAAACCAACAGAGTTGCACTTGGCTCTTGGTTGTTTCCCTGTCAGTGGCACAGCCCGAAGGCATGGGAAACGCCGCAATTTGAAGCGTGCGTCTTCTATGAGACCTACGACATGCTCCCACACGTGCCACTTAACAAAATGGAGGGGGCCGTGGCAAAAACCTGGGCAAAAGATCTACCCCGCAGCTGCCAGCATTTGGAGGCGAAACACGGGCAGCAATCCGGTCAAACTAACACTTGCGCGGGCTGCGTGTGACTACCGCTGCGTCGGCTCAGGCAAGTCTCAGCCGCAGCTCATGCGTTCGATCAAAATACCCAGCAGTTTATACTCAATTTCAGAGTTTCATTGGGGGACAGACAAGCCCTAAACTTCCACGCCGTGTTTGAACCGCGACGGGCGTGTTCAGTTGTTCGGCTGCCAGCCTGCTAGCTCACTCAGGGTTGAGAACAGCGAGGAGATCTGCACCAGCACAGGTTGCCTGCGCACGGCGGGCCTTGAGCCGCATCCAAACGGGGCCAGCCTGAACCTAATACGGTTCGCCTTTCAAACAACCCAAAAAACGGACACCCTTGACAAAGACCCCAAATGCAGGCCAGGCCTTCCACCTTGTCGTTGCTTGGAACCAAGCACAGGCGTCTCACGTCAGGGTTGCGGGAAGCTGTTCGTGGCACGCGGGCTTGAGCAGCAGCTGCCACCCTGCAACGCGGAGCGTGGTCCGTCTTCAACATGGTCGGGCCGTTCGCGGTGAAGCTGCGCAACGCTAGATCAAGCTTCACAAAAGTGGGGCAGCTCAGGGCGACAGCAACTCCCGACATGTCCAAATGTGCGGGAATGAAAGCTGCTCAATGGTCTCCGTGCCTCATGTTTCTCATCCTCAACAGTCCTTGCCTGAACCACATGCGCCGCACGCATCTAAGGTTTCTTTACAAAGGCCGTGTTTGGCCTCTTGAGCAATACAGAATTTCTGAGGCATGCGTCCGCGAGTTTTTCGCGGAAGGCTTGACTTGGCATCCACGCCCATCAGAGCGAGTCTCGCTGCCTTGTGCGCTTGTGTGCTTGATCCAAAGCGCGCGACAGCTTGTAGGTGTCCCATCGAAGAGCATGTCCAGGTTGATGGATGGTTGTTTGCCCAGCTATATCCGCTGCGATTGACCAAAGTCTGAAGCGCCAAGTTTCCACAAATCATGATCTCCGCGCCCTCGAGTCTTGGGCTGAAGCGCTCTCGGCTTCTTGCTTGAAAAGATCGCCTCCGCGCTCTGTGGCGCTGTCTTGGTAGTTGCTGTCGCGGTCGACGATCAACGGCTGGATGCTTTGCCTCTCCACGCCTTCTTGAAAGTCTCGTCCAATGAATTCATTGCCATGGCCCATCACCATGTAAAGAGGCCGCTCCAAACACCCGCGCAACCAGGCGTGGCAAAGATCTTCCATACCACACCAGCTGCTCTCCGGTCCAGCGCGAACGTAGATCACGTGACAAAGCATTTCACACTGGCTGCTCCAAGTTGTTGCTAACGCTTGTCAGGAACAGGAGAACAGGAGATCCACACCATCACTGACGATGTTGGAGTTGTAGCATCGAGGAGTAGAGGCCGGCAATCTGGTTGGTTGTCTCCGCACAGCGTCACAGCTAATTTCCTCTTGTCCGGCAGCTCGGAGCAGTCGAAAGAACTCCCGGATGTCGCAAGTTCGTGCGCTCGAAGCACGGCGGACTTGTCGCGGTGGCTCGGCTCATGCACCACGCCGCCTTCCACCGGGTAACTCTCGTTCAACGACCGTGGGGCACTTGGTCTCCAGGCCACTACCTTTCCACCCCGAAGACGCTCCAAGAAGTATATCCACTTGCTGTCTGTACGGTTTTCCACCACTGCCGCCCTCAACGTTCTTCTTGCCACTGGAAGACGTTCTGGTCGTCTGAACACCAAGACCATCATGTCGTGCCATTGCCACACATTGCCACCGCTTCTGATCCTTTGTTGCAAGACTCCACCACTGGTTCAGGCTCTCCTCCGTGGGCATGACTCTCCCTTGAGTCCGTCCAAGATAGCCTTCGCACACTTCTCGGTGTATGTCGCTGCCGGCCCAGCTCGTCGCAACATCAAACGTTCATGTTCCTGTTGACATTTGCACAGCTTCACCACTTGTCGATGCCATCGGACGTAGTGGCCCATGTGTGAATCTTGCTTTGGGCAGGCGTGCTCTTAGCAGGTGTGCTTATTGCGCGCGAGCGCGCCCGCGCGCTCAACCAAGTATGCTTTGCGTAAGCATGACATGCGCAAGCGCTCTCTGCGGGACGTGGCTCCACGAAAGCCTGCTCGCTGGTGTCTTCTGCGACCGCTCTGCTGCCGTTGCTCTGCGCCAGTCAGGCATAGTTGAATATGATGCTCCCAAGTTCCTAGCGTGGCACTCTCCACAATTCCAATCTGCGGGGTTGGTCAAGGTTAGGGCTGGCAACACAAATGGACGTAAGCCCGAGACAGGAATCGCCTTTCCATTGCAGTGATCCTGGAAGTACTGATTCTTTGCTCACATAACGCAAAGAAATATCTGGCACACGTGACGCTGAGCACCTTCAGCGAAGCAACTAACAAGAGTATCGTTCTCTTTTGTGTTGTTCAGCATATGTGCGACGCCGTTTCGTATGTGAGTGCGGCACTGGCAACATCTGACGTAGGATGTGCTGTGTGCATGTGTTTATGCCATATCTAGTCCCTGAAGATCCGCTCGCCTCGCTGCACTTGCATTTAAGAAAGCGCGCGCCTCAAGAAGTTCTTGAAGTGGCAAATCGGAGGCTGCCAAATCCTCATATACCTTCCACGAAAAAATGCACACCTGACAGCTCGACTGCAACCGAACCAAAGCCCGAAAACCAAAAAACAAAAATCGATGTGTGCATCGAGGTACAACCTTCAGAATGAACAAACAAATGAATCTGTTGAACATGCGCCCGTTCAACATTCTCTTGGGGAGAAACGGTCTGTCAGTCCCATCCTGCCTGCAGCTGGGGCCTGCTGCAAGGAAATAATACGTCAACGCCTCCGCAGGCATTCAAATCACGCTGCGCCAGTTGATTTCGCAATCCGGGAGAAGTATCGAATCTCCATTCCCCAAAGGAAATGAACCAAGTCATGAATAGGGGGTCCGACTTTTCAAGGTCAAGGCTCTATGATCTGCTCTCAGCATGCGGGAACTCGGCTATGGGAAGACATTCCACGCCAACCCTTGAAATGTCTAGCGCATGGCCCTTAACGAGCGCCGACGGAGTTGGCCTGCTCCGTATCCTGATTCAGTCGTGTGGCGTTATTCTTTCAAAGCAAAGTCTCAAGCAGCTCAATGCAGCCTCGAAGTACTTGGGGTGCATGTACGAGTCATCATCCATGATGGTAATGACCTAGCCCCCCACGTTTGAAATGATTGAAGCGGACTTTTGAGGGTTGTGGGAATTGCCCTCACATTTCTGTGATAGCACCCGGGAAGGCATTTCTAGTGACTAAGTCTTCACCTTTCGCAAAGGCTTTCCTGGTACTCAGGGAGCGGCTTAACCCTCCCACAACTCTTCTGTGGTTGCCACTGATTCCTCTGTGCTAAGGTTGCCACCACTCTGGGATCACATGATTGCAAGCCCTGCGCCTGCCAGCGTGCGTTTGCCATCGTTGCAGCATGCCTGGTGCGCATAGTCCTCGAGTTGGACACCTTCTTTCCACACATTCCTTTGAGGAGCATGTTCCTAGTCCCCTTGTTTGGACATTTTCCGGAAAGGTTCGGATTTAAAACATCACCCAACAAGGAACCTCAAGTAACAAACTCGCCACTGGTTGAGAAAATACATCGAAAGGCTCTGAAAGGCCACCTCCTCAAAAACGAAATACATGGAGAGCATCGGAAGCCCTCCAAGTCTTTGCCTACAGCGTCTCCGCCTCCAAGTCTTTGCAGAGCTGTTGAAAGGCCCAGCACTCGTTGGAAGACCTCAAGGATCGTAGGGAGCCAGGGTTTCAAATCCCACCACCCATTCAATCCAAACCACAAATGGAGATGAACAAAAGAAAGGGAATTGGACACAGTCTTGTGACTCAAAAAGGCAAAGCACATGTTGCCACCCCCGAGATCCAATGAGAGCCAATTGAGAGCCGTTGCCCCAATGCTAGCGTCTCGAAATACACACCGCCCGCAGCAGTAACGATTTTTACTCCAGGAAAAAAAGAGATGAGTGATTTTCCGTAACCTTCAGTCCATACGCCAAGTAGAAGCACAGCTGCAAAACAAGTTCCACATCACTTCCCTTACGCTGGTTTCAGTGTTCGAATCTGGAAGAATGCCACCCTTGTTCTTTAAAACCTCGTGTCCCTCTTTAGCCGTGTCCGATATTGTGATCCACATCGCGGCGCGGCAACGTATTTGGCTATGAGGATCGCTTTCCGTCAGACCGTCAAGTGGAAGCGAGCAATCGCTGCCATTGGAACACACGCCTCTGGACCTCATTTCCAAGAAAGCTTGCCCACGTCAAACCCAGAAAGCTTGTAGCTTGCCCTTGGTGAGCAACGCTGCAAGCTGTGACTGGGTCACGCATTGAACTTCATCTACAGCTTGTGGAGGCCAAAGCGAACCTCAAGCCACATTCCAACCTTAGCAAACCAACGCATTCAACGTATCACCTCAATTTGGCAAGCCTCTACAAATCATGGGAACCGCAAACGTGGTCATAAGACAATGAATGCCGTTTCGTTTGCGTGTGGGTTCCCTTTGAACCAAAAGAAGACTCCTCCATGTTTCTTAGCGAGAGCCCACGCTGGTCTCCGCAGCCGAGCGCAGTTTGCAATGTTCACTGCCTCCGGTCTTCGAGGTAGCCGGTGCCAAGCCTGACTCCCAACCAAAACTGCCTAGTGTACCACAACAAGTGGAGTTTCTGAGAATCAATGGCCAAGCTTGTTGGCACAGTTTTCTGGGGCGCCACACTTTCCAGGCAGGTGGTTCGGAAGCTGCGAGGGGTGATATGTGGCTGTGATGAAGGCAAACCTGAGCCGGATATAGCAACCAGGCAATCTGTCGCAAAATGGGGATGCGCGCAGATTTGCAGCAAAATGTCTGGGCCTGGCAGGACTCACCAAAAAGCGTCGTTTACACCAAACTCATTTGCCCTGAAGTGTTGCAGTCTGTGGTTGTTTCCTTGTTGCTTGAACCTGTCTCCAAGCTTTCGCAACTTTCCAGCCGATCTGAATCGACTGCCCCAGCCGTCCCCACTCTTCACCCATTTCTATTTGGAAGTGCGTCAAGACCAGGACCCCCCCGAATTTGCTTTCCTTCAATGAACAACTGGAGCCATAGGAACCTATAGACCTGCAACAAACGCTGGCTGTCACCTGAGAAGAACTGAGTCCAGGCTGGCGGGCTGACTTTGGAAGACCTTTCTCAACGCCTTTTCCTGGCCAAGCCCAAGTGATCAACTGGTGTCAGATCTGACAAGCTGGGGGTGTCTTTCCAGGCTCAAACAAGCACCAGGAGGCACCTACCCAACCCACCAATTCATCAAAGGTTATCCATAGACATGTCACCCATCCCGAACATATGCATCTATGGTCACACCCCCGCATTTGCCTCCTTGTCCAAATGTAAAAAAAACATGTGTTCTGTTGAAGTTTGATGTTTTTTGACTTGTGCATTGTGCTTGATGGCTGGGCCGAATCGGGCCAACCGAAATACACGCATATCAAAAAACAATTCAAAAACACTGCGTTGTTTTATGTGTTCCTGTTTGAACCAAAACAGCATTGGGCTTCGGCATGGTTAACCCTTCTGAGAGCGTTTTAGTATTTGGCTATAAAAACCGAAACATCAAAAGAAACAAGCAACACAAAACAAAACAAGAAACCCAAAAACAGAAGCTCTGAGAGGAAGGCGTTGATTTGCCACAAGTGTTGTTGTTTTGTTGTTTCTCGATTCTTTTGGTTTTCCTCAGTTTGTGTATCTTTCTGAATAAAAAACAAAGAACTCGAGTTTTTCGATTTCGTTGATGGAAAACCTTGACAAGACCCAAAACCAAAAAAACAACTCTGAGGAGACGTTCTCGTTTTCTCGAGGATGTGTGGGTGCCCTGTTTTATTGTGGATTTAGCCCCATCCCACACCAACGGTTCAAATTTATGTGCTTCTTTGCCTTGCTTGCAATTCACAAAAAAACAACAATTGGAAAACCAAACAAACAAAACAAAACGAGAAAACACAAAAAAACAAACCGTTTTACAAAAACATAGCTTCTCTTCAGAGTTGTGTTTTTTTTTTTTTTTTTTCTCGTGCCTTTTATCAACAGCATCCAAAAACCACAAACCCTCGTGTTATTTTACTCATAAAACCAAACAACTGAGGGAACACAACTCACAAACACCGAGAAAATCAATTAAAAACAAGATTCTAGCAAAGCTACAACTTCTTCACCAGTTTTGGTTCTTGCTTTTCCGTTTTTTGGTTTCCCGTGTTCGTCTCGCTGTCCCTCTAAAAGGGGTAACTGTGGGACACAAAAACAACCTTGAAAAACTGGAAAACGCTTTCTGATTTTTTTTGGGTGTTCCCTCATGTCTTTTTAGCTTGGCCCTGTTTTGGGCGATGACTAAAACGCTGTGAAGGGGTGTGACCAGTGAACTAGATTGTCGGCGCTATATGATAGCTCCTCGCATGGACTTTTGAAGCTCCATATACACCTCGCTTTAAGGCGTTTCTCAAAAATATGTCTTTAAGGCTCCTTTGCGCTCCCTGATGAAAAGGCTCCTTATAAAACTCCTTGTAAATGCACTTCCCTTTCATTGGAAAGCTCGTCAAACAAAAACTCATTGTAAAGCTGCTTGTAAAACGCCTGGTGGATCTTCTCTTACAGCTTTTTTGAGGCCGTGGTGAAAATGAAAAAAGGCTCCATAAAAGGCGCGCAATTCCCTGCAAAGCTGCTTGCAACGCTCCTTTTGAAGGAAGCTCATGACAAAACTATTTGTAAAGCCTCGTGTAAAGTTCCTTATGCGACTCCTTCTAAGCCTCTCATAAGTAAAACGCTCCTTAAAATGCTGCCGAGCTCCTTTTAAGGATCATGATGTAGCTACTTGTCAAGCTCCTTGTAAAGCTCTTTACAAAGCCCCGTGCTCCTTCAAAAGCTGCTGCTGGGACTCCTTGCGTAGCTTCTGTTGAAGCTCCTTACACAGCTCCCTGCGAAGCTCTTTGCAAGGCTCCTTGTTCCAATTGTTCAATGCAGGTTTGGTCCGGATCGACGTGTGCTGACAAGGGAAAGGGGGACCCCTTTCCGCGTATAATGTGACACTGACACTAACGAGTAGACTGTGCATAGGGCTTAAGAAAAGGCAACAATTCCGTTAACTTCTGCCATCAATACGAATTCAAGTCAACCGTCCTTTCCATGAATAGAACTTAGCAACAAAATAATTCAAATATATTGTCTTTGTCCATTAGAAATTAAAATTGAACACACGCGACAAAGATTTATGAAAAGACTTAGTTAGAATGGTGCTAGACTTCGAGAGCTGAAAATTGCAGTTGAACCTGCTTTCAAATTTTGAAGTGAAGCAGCACAGCGCTTCAAAGGGAACAGATTCAAATGTAATGTCCAAATGGGATTAGTAAACGCACGCGTAATAAAAACAAATGGGGGGCCCAACAGGATTAGTAAATGCACCTGGAATAAAGACAAGCACCCGCCACCCGCGCCAAAAAAACAAAAAACAAAAACAGAAAATAAAGAGAGAAAGGAGAGCACCTGGTCCTTGGATCTTTGATACCTTGTTCCTTAAATCCAAAACTGTCAGCTTTAACAAAACCATGTTTTCTTACATGTCTCTTGTTTAAAACCTGCCCACAATCAAACCCACAAAGGGGGTAGTACTACAGCCCCCAACTTGACATTACTTCAGGGCCCCCCGAAATAAATAAAGTGTTGTTGCCTGGCCCCCCTAAGAAAAACAAAAGGAAGCTCCTGCAATACCAAACCAAATGCCAACTCAAGTCTACCAGTACTAAATCAAATGGAAACTCAGTTCCAAATGTCAAAAGGAAGCTCCAGCAATACTAAATCAAATGGAAACTCAAGTCTACCAATACTAAATCAAATGGAAACTCACTTGAACTGGATCTCAAGATACTATTCCAGGTGCCCCCATCGTGGGGGGGGGGGAACCACCCTTTACAAATTCACATTGGACATTAGTTGATATGCGAATGGGTTGTTGGGTTGTCAATGCTTGATTGGAATGATAATTTATGTAGGAACTCCTTTCCAAACAAGAGTTTAATTGCATTTGCAAGTCATGTGGAAAGGTAGTGCGTAGTACAGGCGGAAAGTAGCATGAGCAGATGCGCAAGGTGTTGGATGGCAAAAAAGGAAGGCGGGCAAGGCGGGGGGGGGGGGTGTGAGCTGACGTGTAGGCAACCGGAAACGCCGATGGAGCACTAACTGCCTGAAAAGGGGGCAAAAAAGATTTGGCAGAGCAGCTGTTTGAAAAAGCTGGGGTTGGACTCGGCCATCGCGCTCGCAAGCCGCTCACCGACAACGTCAGCTTGTGGCCGCCTCAATGTTCTAGACGTTGTTCCTTGCAATGACCTCAGTGTGGATATCCGCCACTTGGGAGACTGCCGGCCAGCTCGGTTGCCCATTCGCACGTAGAAGACGTTGAAGGTTTCCGAAAGAGGCATGTCCACTCGCCCTGAATCCGTAGCTTCTCCTGCCGCGCCTGATCCATTGCTTTCCCGAAGGGTTGCGGCGTCAGCGCGGCCTGGGAGATATTGCGCCTTCCTTGTCTATGTCGCAGGAAGGCAAGGCAGACAAGGTTCACAATAAATTATCGGTTTGCGATATAGCAGATAATAGGAGACCAAGAGTTCTTTGCAAAGGCTGCCACATTGGAGCAAGATGTCGAAGGAGGACACGTTCGGCAGCAAAGGGCGCGCCTCATTTCGCAGCGAAACAAATCGATTTCTTGGTTTTCGGCAACCCGTGTAAGACTTCTCTACAAAACGCATCAGAACCCGAGCCCGGAAGAAGGCGACGCGTCTCGCAGGAACGATGTCCCACGCGCACGTTCGGAGCACCCTGGAAAACACCCGTGTTGGCGCAACTTACCCGTAATCTACCCGTATCTTGCCGCGCCCCAGTTTCTTTGTTCCAACTTAAAAGCCCGGAAGCTGGGGTAGCAGGCTGACAGTGTTTGAGACCATTCGGAGGTCCACTAGGCGGATCGTTTTTCGGACCGGCCACGCCGGGTTTCTAGGTGACGAGCTACGGCGTGGGCAACTTCCCAATATTTTCGAGTGACAAACGTGCTCCTAACTAACACACACTGTAATTCTAACTATTAGTTCATATTTTAGGTCACAAACAATCTACAGGTTGTTCGACCCGGAGTTCTAACCAACAGTCCGGAAGAAACCTAATAAAGAAAATCTGTGCTGTTTAGTGGGGCCAAAGTTTGCTCGAAACTTCGACCAAACATACACATCCAAACTTTGACCAGGCTGCGCCTCAGAAACACTAACTTCGAACAAACTTCACTTCCAAGTTCAATCTGTTTTGGGGTCCGGCTTTCACAAACAACAGCCTTCTCGCCTTCTCTTTGGCGCGCTTCTTTCCTTCGCCCGAGATTGGGCGCAAAGACCTCTGCATCACCAGCTCGGGCTTGCGGTTTTGCTTGCCTGTGGGAAACGCTCGCAAAACATCGCGTGTGTGCAGGGTTTAGGCCGTGTGGCTGACATCATCAGGGCGTGGGGCTTGGTCTGCATCATCGAGACTTCCTTCCAAAAAGCCTCTCCAACCATGAAGCACTGGTTTTTAGAAGGTACCGAAGAGATACAGGCAAGGCTCATTTTCGCGCATTTTGTCGCCAAGAGCTGCCGGGCACGCCGGCGATGCTCAGTCCTTGCTCTACAAAACGCCGTAAATACCGTCAAAAAGGGCTGGCTTGCGGGCTGTTCTTTGTGGGCTGATCGTTCTGCAGCCTTTGGCGCGCGCGCGCGCGACCCCGTGTGAACCTTCTGGGTTGGGGCCCGGCTGGGGGCCAGAAAGCTGGCATCCCCAGCATCATCTGCGGCTGGAGCGGGCAACACGCATAACCTAACAAGCCATATCATAGCACAGGATACGTTTGTCATGAAAGATATGCCATGACATAGCATAACCTAAAAGAGGAGTAGCCGGCTAGAGGCCGCAGGCCCAAAAGATTTACGCTCCGATCGTCCAGCATTTGGTCTCCGCAGAAATTTGCGGTCCGCTCGTTACGCAAGTTTTGCCGTTGCAGATATTTACTGTCAGGTCGTCAAGATTTCTTGTCTCCGCAAGTTTTGTCTCCGCCGAAATGTACGTCCAGCTCGTCACCCTAAGTCTCCAGATTTATTAAACAAATTTTGGGAAGAACTTACGTATTTTGGTTTTACGTAC